GCTCTTCCGACTCATGTTATGCAGTCCACAAAGATTCCAATTTCTGTATCAGAGGAGGTTGACGAGAAGTGTAGGGGCTTTCATGGGGTGACTTTGACAATCAACGGAAGATTCATACCATTGGCTGGTCAAATATCTGCACACCCCAGTTGGATGGTGGATTGGGCCCGAGACTTTCTAGAGACAGTAATTGTGCTTTTATGATGAAGTGTGTACTAGGAGGGATGATCATTGGATTCGTACTGTTCGCAGTAAATATCAATGTGGGGACTCCATATGTTCATGGATCGATTTTTTTAAAAATTTAAATCGAACTAAATTGATCCGTTTTATAAAAGTGGATCAGTTAACTGGTTTATTTTTTATAAAATGGATGGGTTTAATTTTTTTAAAATATAGATTAATTTTTTTAAAAAATTGAATCGGTTTGGTGCAGTGCAGTTATCCATTTTTTACTTATATATGGATTGGCTTTTCTTAAAAAAACCAAACCGAACCGATTCACTTTGTAAAAATGGATCAGATAACTGAACTGGTTTTATAAAGTAGTTCGGTTCATATTTTTTTCAAAATGGATCAAATTTTTCAATACAGATCGGATCAGTTATGGATTAGTTCGGATCAATTTGAATTTTTTGCACATCTCTACCGCTAATTGATACGAATAAATCAGGGGCAATTTTTTTGAAAGGGTTATGTAATGCATAGGAGCAGACAGCTAACATGCTCTGTTGGAACATTGGCGATGATGCTATGGTATCCTTTAGGCTTGATAAGTAGGACCCGAGTCATGATAGGCTTCTATATGCAACTCAAGGTAATATTCCTCCTTATATACTCTTGAAGACGGTGAGTGACTTTGTTGGTGATCAGGGTGATTGGAATTTTCAAGCCTTTACCTCTTGTACCAATCTCGGTCAAATGGTGACCGAGTTCGAACCAACTTGGCTTGCCAACTTAGTTTGCTAACTCGGCCTTCCCAAGCTTGAATCACAATATCAAGTAGTTAAGTTAACGGTAATAATGACGGTTATACAGAGAAGGAAGACGGTGAGTGACTTTGTTGGTGATTAGGGTGATTGGAATTTTCAAACCTTTACCTCTTGTACCAATCTCGGTCAAATGGTGACCGAGTTTGAACCAACTTGGCCTGCCAACTTGGTTTGCTAACTCAGCCTGCCCAAGCTTGAATCACAATATCAAGTAGTTAATTTAACGGTAATAATGACGGTTACACAAAGAAGGAAAATAGACAATAGCAGGTAAAAATATATACATTTTATTGGATAATCGAAAATGACTAACTTGATCGTCAGAGTCTTTTTTACAGGTATTTCCGAGATGCTTGGAGAAGGGCGACCAATCTCTCATGATCTCTTATGAGACCAAGATAGAGAAGATGATCAATCTGACTTGAAGGACCGACTTGATTCTGGTAAGAACATCTTGGCGCTAGAAGGAGGGCCGGTAAAACTTTTCCTTCGACAACCTTATGGTTTCTACCCGAAGTCAGACCAACAATACAATGGGCCCAGTACCTCGAGATACGTCACATATGAAAGACAATGCAACTTTGCGACAGTTACTCAAACAAGTAGAATTGATGCAACAACAATATACGACGGCAATGGAAGCTATTCGTAAAAAACATGAAGTCGATCTACAACAATTGCACGCTAAAAATGCTACCCTCCGGGCTCATTGGCAACAACACCAACCACCACCTACACCTCGGACCGACCATGTTCCTCCTCCAGCCGAGGAACATCATTCTTCTCAAGATCCCACATATCTGTCGGAGTCTGTTTGGACTCATCGATCTGAGCATACCCACATCAGTCATCCCACATATGATCACAACTTAGTTCGTTGACATTCTTTCGTTGATGGGATCTTGGAAGTCCCTCTACCACCTGCTTGGAAGACACTAAACATTGAAAGGTATGACGGAACCACTGATCCCGATGAGCACATCGATGCATATGTTACCCAAATCAATTTATATACCAATGACGATGCCATCATGTGCCGTGTATTCCCAACTTCATTAAAAGGGGCTGCTCTCAGTTGGTATATAATGGCATCCTTACTTGCATGAACTTGAGATGATCAACAAAGAATAGGACGCCTTCTCCAAGGATCAAGTTCTTCAAAGGTGGCACAAGATTTTAGGGTGGATGATGATGGAATGGACGAAAATGGATGTTGGGTAGAAGGTGTTATTGAAGAAATGCTTGAGAAGGTCACTCTAGGGTTAGCTCACTTCATGATGATGAAGGCCACTTCTAGGATTGTTTCTCTCAAGGTGGAGATGAGAGCAGTGACGGATCCAGAAATTTTAAGTAGTGGGAGCAATATTTAAATATATAAATTTGTCAAAATATAAAATAAAATTTTTATAAAGATAAATACATATCATAATTGTTCTCTACGAGTTTTCATAATTTGAAAACATTGAATGATTTGCTCATTTTCAATACTATCAAAAACCTCTCTCTCTATATAAGTAACTAAATAATCATTTAACCATTCATCTCCCATACGATTGCGCATCCGATTCTTGATGATATTCATAGCAGAAAAAACTCTTTCAACTGATGATAATCTGAAATTTTTGGCCTTAAACAAGGATCATCAGGAAGCCTTTCCAAATCACATTCTAAAAATCCTTTTTTGGTTGGTGGACCCAATTTGACTTCTTTTTCAACATGTATTTGAGGAGAAGATGGTTGCTCTGAAGATGATTTTTCTTTTAAAATATCTTTCCATTGCTACAACTAAAAGCAATATAATTTTAATTAATGCAATGTTCATAACATACAATGTTTCTTCTAAACATAAAAATAGAATGAGTAAATCAAAATCAAAATACTAAATTTATCATTGAAAATAAAAAAATTAATTCAAATAAAGCAATATAAAAATAATAACTTTAAATGCACTAACCTCAAAGACCTCTTTAAATGTATAATTTAGCTATTCAAACAAGAAGGAGTATAGATGGAAAAAGAAGTTTATTTTTTTTCTTCCAATTTCACTCTTCTACACTTTAAAATATGTTAGAGGTAGAGGAGAACCTCAAAATATAAAAAAAAAATAGAAAAAATAAAAATAAAACAAAAAATATAAAATATCTAAAAAGAGGTTAATAATAACTTATGATTTTTTTTAACTTAAAACACATACATTATTTAATTTATAATTTTTTTATCTTGATTTACAATTTAAATGCATAATATTTTTTTTAAAACATGTAATTTGTTGTTAATTATTATAACATATTAAAATATTTTTAAAAAATTTCCTTTCTCACATAAAGATAACTATAACAAAACTTAAATTCAGTTTTAGTTTTATAATTTTTTTAGTTTTTATTTTTATTTTTTAGTTTTTAAATTTTAAATGAAGATAATATAATATTATATATATTATTAAAAAAACTGAAAAGTTAGTGAGGGCCACAAATTAGTGCATCAGGCAACAAAACTTAATTTCAGTTTTAATTTTATAATTTTTTTAGTTTTTTTTTTTTTGTTTTTAAATTTTAAATAAAGACAATATAATATTTTATATATTATTAAAAAATAAAATTGAAAAGTTAGTGGGGGCAACTGCCCCCACAAGCTCTAACGTGCGTTCGTCATTGGATGGGAGGGAGGTGGCCGAATTAGCCAAGGGTGACTAAGGAAAGATATAAAAGCACAAAAGGCTCTCTTTATATTCAATATCCAAAGTATTTACATGATGCATAGCCTAGGATATTTATAGGAGTGAGAGACATCTAGGATTGCATTTGGAGAGTGCATGGTCGAAATTCACAAGTCAAATGCACACCAAATTAAATCCAAATTAACCCTAGATGCAACTTGGTGGCCAAGGATGGAATCATTGGGTTTAGCTAGGCTACATCTAGGTGCATGATAAGACCATGCAACCTTTGCCCTCCACTTGGGCCTAAGTCTTTCTAACACCAAAAAATAAGTCCAATAGCCACAAAATACGTCTAGCTTTTATCCCACCCTAATCAAATACCTTAGCCCAAAAATAAAATCCTATGATCTAAAACACCCCATAATACAAGGGTAAAATGAGATATACAAAAGAAAATAAATCTTATGACTAAGATACCCCAAAATACAAGGATAAAATGAGAAATACAAGTAAAATAAATTCTAAGACTAAAATACCCCAAGATACAAGGGTAAAATAGGAAATCAAAGACAAAGGCAAAATAGGAATAAAAATAAATGCTATGCTAATAAAAACTTAGGAGCTAAGGTCCAAGAGTGGCCTCACTCCTCCTATAGTTTTTCAACACTAACTCATTCCTTTTGTTTCCTTCAATACATCACCTCTTGGACTTCTTGGCCTTAGTATTATTCCATCAGTATACCCAACTACCACCCAAATCAGTGGATAACTTTGACACCTTGGTACACCTCTTTTCTACCCAATATGCCACGAGTAGACCCCACCATATCACATCAATCGCACTTTCCAATTTGCGACAACAAGATGATGACTCTCTGAGGCACTTTATGGAGCATTTTGCCAGCATTTCCATAAAGATCCATAACCTTAATCCTGAAGTTGCCCTACACTCTATGCTCATGACACTGAAACCGAGATCTTTTGTTGATAGTCTCTGTTGATGTCAACCAGTGAGCATGGATGAACTTAGGGCACGCACGACTGGCTACATCAAAATGGAGGAACACGCTGACGACAAACCCGAAACACTGTTCACGGTCGAAAATGGGCCTTTTTTTTTGTTGATCGGTTTGGATTGGAGCTAATATTTTCAACCCGAATCCGTCCGAACCCGACCCATGCTCAGGCCTACTAGCACTTTACTACTTCCTCTCCCTTTATCAATAAACATATATTCATTTAAGTATTAACTAGCAATTTAGCATGTAAAATAATAAATATTATTTTATATAACTAAATATATCATAAATAAATATTTTTATCATATTATATTAAAATTATAATAAATAAATAGTTTTGAATGTAAAAATTATATTTTAAATTTAGAATATATAATTCATATTATATACAATATTGTTTATAGTTATTGGTAATACTTAAAAAAATAAATTTAAAAGTGATATATTAAAAGAGATAAGAGGTTAAAAAAGTATTAAAATAAATATAAAAATGGTACATACAAATAATATTTAAATTTTGAAAATAAATGTATATTTCATTTTAATATTCAATTATTACTTGTTACATAATAAATCGTTCATTTGATAAAAAAAATATAAGAAACATTTGCATGATAAAAGAGTAAAGTGTTTATCTCTTTACAAAAGAATATATATATATATATATATATGAAGAAAGTTATAATAATACCAATGTAATTTTTATTAAGTATTACACCCTTTAATAATTTTATATTAAATGTGAATTTTATAACTGTTAAATTGAAACATAACTCAGTGTCATATGCCAATATGATTAGCTACCAACTCATCTTGTACACAATACATGAAACCCTAAGCAAAGAAATTTGTTAATTCAAATCGTCTTAAAAATACTTGATGATTAATTTCAAAATCTAAATCCATCAAAATCAACCTTTAAAATCTAAATCCATCAAAATCAAATTTATATTTGGGACAGATTTAGTCTTACCGTTAGTTACGAGACATCTCGATACAAAGATTCAAATAAAGGGAAGTTAATCACAATTATTTTCAACATGAAAATCGAGATAGATGACAAAACTCCATTAAGTCTATTTTACAGGTTCACCTATTTAGGTTCAAAATCTATAGATAAGACCATTGTATTCTATTTTTGTTGTTGAAGCACTTGCTAAATAAACACTTTGTAACACCTACCACGCCTCACATCAATGGTACTAACTACTCTATAAATTGAATGTATATTTCTAACAACAGAAAAATTTTAACATTTCCAGTCTTTCACTTGCATTTTGATTTAAGAATTTGGCAATTAACATTATTAGTGAACCTGTACCATTCACTTAAGTGCGCTTTCATCTATTGTCAATCAAAATTTTCTGTTTCTATATACTTGTAGCCTCTAATTATTAAGCAATTTTGAGCCCCATATTTGGTTAGAAACGAAAATATATCAATTAAATATGAATAAACGCAATGTTCGCTCCAGTACAATTATATCAACAAAAAACATAAATTATCTCAATAGAATATCGAAACTCAACAATATTCATGTCTAGTAGGAACTAAATGATTCATGAAGGCTCCAAAAACAAAAGGGACCCATGCATATGCAGACTATGCACACATACAAATGACAGAGCGCATGATTCGTACATTAGAATATAGCTTTTAGCATAATGAGGCATACTCCCATCAGTTGTGCGAACTGTATATAAGAATTTAGGTTTAAAATGGGCATTGCGTTCAGCAAGGGAGATCTTATGGACATCCAGATGTATTGTCAAATGAGACAGCAGATGTTTCACTAAAGTTAGCAGAAAAAAAAAATTGCTCCTCGACTTGTAACTAACATCTCAAGTCATCTTTTTCTTAGAATCCAGAATGAAGGTTAACAAAAATGGCATTGTGAGAAGAAATTTAAGCACTCTTCACCAACTATCTAGTAGTGGATTTGGGTTGATGCTTCTCCGTTGTATCTTCATTTGATTCACCTATATAGTTCAGAAGCCCCCAAAATTAAGTGATCGATGTCACAATGAAATCAATCAATTGAAAAAGTTAACAGGTGCCAAAACAAGGCAACTATAAAAATAATTGAACATAGGAGATATGATATCAATAGATGTGATTGAAAATCAATCACATTCCAATAAAATAACTTCTCGTTCATGTGATCAATTTTTGATTAGAAAATCTGGTATCTAAATCTTTTGGCCCGACAAACACTATAAAAATGAAATCAAGCACAAAATTTCGAGGGAAAAACTCTAGATATGTTGTAATCCCTTTTACTTTATCACCAACAAGACAACAATCCACTAACTAGATGTATCGAGTATTTGCACACAATTTCTTATTTTCTACATTCAGAGTACCCTGCATGTTTGAATAGTTGATTATCAATCTCAAGCTAACCAAATGTTCTTCAAATAAACTAAGTATATTTCAAAACTATCAAATAATAAAAACACGAAACTCAAAGTAACTGAGATGATCATCAGTGCCTAAATTTCTGCAACAAAAATAGGAATAGAAGACTTGCAAGCAATGCAACATGCAGAACCAGTAACTCTTAATATGCAAACCAAAGCCAGTAATACTTTGGCTTCCTTGCAGATATGCAGTTTGCTTTGCTTCCAATTTTCCATGAATAGTTCAGCTCTTCAAGGATGAGTTATTCAATATTCCAAAAAAACAAAACAAATTAAATAATCAACTACAAAGAACACTAAAGTACACATTAAAACTAGCACTTTGTATTTGCCGTGATTGTATATATATAATATATAATATATATATAGAATCAATTCCATCATGTACAAATATTCTAGTTTCTTTATTCCATCAACATCTAAGAAATCTTTCTTATCTATCATCAACCTTCATTAACCTCAAGATAAAGATTTTCTCAAACTACCAATAACTAACTTTCTTTCATCTAATACAAGCAACGGCATTTTCCCCATTAGAGCATCCACAAGGTTGAGATTAGTTTCAAGACCCAAAGGACTCATAACTTATCCACTAATAATTAGTCACAACCAGATAGACCCAAGAGAGACACAAACATCGAAGGAAGTAAAACCAAACAAATTATAAGAACACACATTTCACCTTGAGAAATTTATCATGTCAACTTTTGCTGATGGCGAGTTTTGAATCAAAAAGTCCACTATCCCATCAGGTATAGGTGGCGGAGATGGTTTCAATGCTGCTTTCCACGACTTGGCAGCTTTGAGTCTCATGGAAAATATAGGTGAAAGTGGTTTCAGTTCCACTCTCAACGACTCCAAGTGACCCAAGCAAGGGAGTTTAATCTTCAACAACCCAGGAATTAAGAATAGAACCTAAGCAACAAGGAATGAGGTAAATTAGAAACAATCTATTGCAAATAAAAACAACCTTAACAAGAAAGTAATAATATAACCTCAAAAAACATGCTTAAGCCCAAATTGCATAAACTTCTCCCAAAGCACTGAAATCAACTTGAGGGCCCATTTTGGGATAAATATCTCCACAAACACTTCTAGTAGAAAAAAAAATAAGTAGAAAAAAACGAAATTAACTTCTCCAAAAGCTAAAATTAGTTTATACATACATTTAAAAAACATATTTTGGAAAAAACTAATATGGAAGAACTTTTCCAAATTAGTTTATGCATAAGTCAATTTTAGCTCTTGGACAAATTTATTTCATTTTTCCTAATCATTTTTTCTCCTAAAAGTACTTACGAAGAAGCTTAACCAAACACATCCTTATGCACTTAACATTCATCAGAGTTGTCTCATCTAACTTCTCAATGACACAAGTAGATTTTAGGTAAAGAGACAAAGCTCAATTCATTTAACTTTCTTATTTTCTTTTCTTATAAGGGCTTCCAGATAAGTTTATCCATCGAAGCACAGCCTTAGTTAAGGCCTACCTGAAGAGTACTTGCCGACACCGTCAATGCTTTTATATTAGCAAGCTCCAGCAGCCAGCTCAACAGAATCAAAGGAGACTCCAACGAAGTAGACCAAATTTCCGCATCAATACACACTCGTTCAAGCTTAGAAACATTGTTCCAAATGAGTTGCTGAAAAGGAGCACCAGTGAAACCTAGCGCCCTCAAATTCGGCGTAGACAGCGCAATTTTATAGAAATCCTCAGACTGATCAGAACGCATAGTTAAACTCGCAAGCGAAACACTTGAAATGCAGAGAACCCGCGCATCCTTCACGGTACAATAGTCAATAGTCAAATCCTTTAACCTAGTGCAAGCCGAAAACGGCTCAGCACTGTCGTCATCGCTTTTGCAAAACGTGAAATGCTGCAGATGCAACGCCGTTAACGCCGTGAGAGCGAGGGATTTCGGAAACAGCGTGCTGCCGTAGATGTAGCCCCTAGGGCAGACGGAGAGTTTGAGAGAGGTTAACGTGTGGCAGGAGAAGATGCAGGGGGGAATGTCGCGAATGTCGCACTTGACGGAGATTCCGAGGTGCTGGACGTGGTGAGAAACGGCGTATTTGACGATGCGTTTGAGGAGTTGCGGCTCGATGCAACCGTGGCGCTCGAAATCGAGCTTGTGGAGCGTGAGCGTGGAGTCGCGGAGGGAGAGGAGGCGAGAGACGAATTTGGTGAAACCCTTGAAGGTCCAGAAGTCGGAGGAGTGGAGGATGAGCGTGGGGAGGGACTTCCAGAGGTTCTTCCACCGCGTCGAGAGGACGCACGTTCGAACGGCGTGTTTGGCGTTCAGGAATGTTAGGATGTGGAGGAGAACGCAATCGGGTAAGTCGCTCAGTCTGTCTTCCATTTTGCTCTCACTGCGCTTTCTCCTCTTCATCTTAGAGGAATCGCTTTCAGCATACAAGCAAAAGCAAACGGGAATTGGGGGTCGAATGGATGGATGTTAATTGTTAACGATAAACCCTGCGTTGTTGGTACGGAACCGATGGAACCCACGTTCTTCTTCCGTTTCAGTGTTTTTCAGGATTGGCTTTGGTTGGTATCTTCCATTTTGCGCGGATGGGTGTAGACTATTTTAATGCACACTGCACTGTTTGTTGCGTTGGTATCAGTATTTTTTAAATTTTGTCCTTTGCTATTAAGACTGCGTATGATTTGAGTTAGATCGAGTTACTGGATTCAATTGATTTTTACTCACTGAACAAAAATAATTTGTTTCTTACTTGGTCAGGCATAAAATAACTTTCCGGTGTTTGTACTAATAAAGAACGAGCCATTAGCGAATAGTTACTTAGAATGTTCATTTGCTTTAATAAAATTTGATTAAATAAACGTTTGAATTTAAATTCAATTATATGAATGAATATAAGGTGCTTTGTGAACTTGACGATAAACATTTAATAACGCGTATATTTAATGAATTTTTTTTAATATAATTTATGTCCATGGACATTATTACAAAAATAAATTTGACTTGATCACCCTAATGGTTCTAAATTAATTTATCAATAAGTTTAAAATAAGTTATTTTAACTAAAGTAATATAAGATAACTTTTATAAATTAAGAAAAAATCTTATATCATTTTCTTTTTATTTTCTTCTCCTAAAGTACTTAAAAAATTTATCTAAAAGACAATTTAAGTTACGTTGAGTATTATTAGCGTTACTATCCATTAAAATACTAAAACTTCATTTCATTAATAAGAATTGTAATCCTTATAATACACTTTCTACATTATATCCCTCACTCGATTTGCCACTATGACCTTTCTAGTTTCTACTATGACTCTTCTGCTTTCTCATTTATTCTTCATGTCTCCCTCTTTGCCTCAAATTGATAACAATGGCATGGGATATTCTCGAATTCTCTAGCGACCTCTAACAAGTGAATCACTACATCAAGCAATGGATAAAATCCGATAGTTCATGTCCTCTATGACGACAAAACCACCATTGATGACAACAACAAAAAATCCCCTTGCTCCTACGCTTTAACAATGACGCACCACCCCCAATGTTTGTTTAGAAAAATAAATTTAATAGAGCACAAGAAAAAAATAAATATTTAGATTTATCAATAAAACTAATATCAACAAACATAATGAATACCAAAAATTAAAAGCAAAATAATTAGTAACAACTAATTAAACACAAAGAACAACTTAGAATATTAAATAATAAATTTAGAGTAGTCTGAGTTGAAGCAGAGCGCTATCCTTAGAGAGAAAACGTCTTTATTACACTGGTAATTTAGAGTCTTATAGTGCGTTTCTCTCCCAAGATACGTCAACCTGTTAGACCGTTCGAGTGCAGCGAAAGATCCCCGAACTAAAAAACACCGCTCCAAAATTATAATTTTGTAGTAAAAAAATTGAGGGAGTCATAAAATGAGCTTGCAGTGTAATTTTCTAATCTTTTTTCTAATCTTTTTCACGTACCAGGGTCTCTATATATAAGCACAATATATTTTACATAAAGGATGTGCACCCCGTTTTTCAAGTTTTTTCGGTAACAACAAAGGTGTACGTTGTGTGTGGATGTGCACTATTCTTTAGCTAGCTTTTCAGTAACGGCAAAAGTGTACGTGGTACACTTTGCTAACTAATTAGAAATTGCAGGCTTGATCAAAGTGAAGAAGGCCATAACAAATTTTTTTTTTTTGCAAATTACAAATATTAAATAAAACAAAGATTAATTAAATTAAATATTTAACTTAAATTTTAAATTATAAGATAATTTTTCAACAAATGTCACCATCACCTACCACTCCACTAGTAGCATCTACTAGGTAGATCTCAACCCCTGTGATGCCATTAAGACCTCCACTACATCGTCATACACATGGTCTCCTCTAAGTTTGACTATTTACATGGATGCTCCTCAAATAAATAATATGAGTGGTGATGCAATGAAGGAGACCTTGTCCATCCATGTTTATGACATCTCAAAAAATTCTTTGTCCATCCAAGTTTTCGCAAGCTTGGCAGTGGATGATCAAATAAATAATAGAAGCAGTGACAAACGATGGTGGTTGGGATGATAAATATGTAAAGACAAAGACAAAGGAAAGAAGAAAAGGGATGTAAAATATCGCTGTTATGATTAGATAGATCCAATTACAAATAAAAGTTGTCCATGATACACTACGAAAAATGGATCACCCTAGCATTCATCTTTATTTAATACTTACTATTTGAAAATAATTACAAGTATTTAATAAGATACATTTAATTTTATTCATTATAATTATCTTTTATGCATCAGGTGCATAAATTAATAAGTAAAGAAATACATTTTCATTATACAAAAAAGAAATAAAAAAATATTAATACAACAAACCATTTTTCTAGCAGCGAAGTAATGGATTTGTTTCTTAACAGACTATTTGTTTACACGCTCACCTATGCACTAGTGCGTGTGATAGAAAAACCAACACTAATGAAGCCCGTGCATGGGTAAGTTTCATGGCGAACGGTAGCTGGAGCTGGATGATTCGGCCAGTATTTCGGTTGAGTCTTTCATTCCCCCTCCTTATGTAGAAGATGTAAAGATAATGAGTCAAGTTTATCGTTGCTTAATAGTCAGGTTTTAGTGAAAACTTAAAAGAAAGACAATCCGAAAGGAATTAAGTATTGAGATGGATGGACAGTTAATATGATTAACGAAGGTTACCAAAGCCGCATTGAGTTGTTGCAGTGTCTGAGCTTGGCACCCATCCGTTATATCACCCAATAAGTTTTTGCTCTTCACGGTATGGAACCAGATGACTCAAAAATAATGACTACAGAAGATTAAGGGGAAATTAATGGTATACAACACTACTAAACGATATTTTGTAGCGTAAAAAACATTTTCAACACATTGGATTGTCTAAGCCCAATGAAACATTAGTTGTTCTATTCGGCTGACATTATGCAATTGACAGATACTGAACCAAATTTAAAACATCCACGACAAATAGGACTTCTCAAATAATAGTTTTGCTAAAAGTAAATAATAGTTTTGCTAAAAGTCAATATTATACTCTTAAGTGCAATAACTTCAGCTTCGGAACTTGCACTTAGTGTGGCAACAATTAGTTTTAAGTTGTAACTAACTTGAACAAAGGCCAATAGACTTTGAAGGCGGTGTAAAACTTCTGACAAATTTATTTTAATATAGCTATGCTTGTTACTACTATAACAATAGGATATGATGATAACAAAAGCAGTTCTTTTCGGGGCTACCGCAACATCAATGACAACATGTGTATGGAAGACGAAGAACATAGATAAGACGACAACTAATATTTATTTATATGTATATATATGTACATTTGGAACAAGTTCATCTGTACGTATTAACATATCCAAATGTTTCACCAAGAGCCCAGCAGCACAAGCCTGAACTTCATTAAAGGTCGGAATTAGCAATAGCAAACCGCTGCATTGATATTCAAATTAGCAGTTCATCCTTGAGTGACGCAGCATATCACCGAAATTTCATCTCTAAAATCAGGGTAGCAGAGCTTTGGCCTCGATGAAATTATTATAGTCAGGGACAAGCAGACAGCATTTTTACTAACACAGGCCCTAACTAATGAATATTTCATGATATAAACACCGAAGGAAGATCATTTGATATCTTATACACAAACAATATTTTGGCACTTATACCAGCATCAATATTGCAGACTACATAATGTTAGACCCGAACAGCAGAGCTTCTTCACACTTGCTAATCGGTAATCATTTCCATTTCCGAGGTCTACAATTAATCATAACCTTGAATTTCCTAATTGTCTCGTGGAATGTATCACTGCTTCTAGATCTGCGTCTCATTAGCACACCAATATACTACAGAGGGACCATTATGTAAAACCCCTCAACATAATAATCACTTAGTACCTTCTAATCAAAGTTTCCTGGAATGTCAATATCTGTATCTGAAGGATTAGAAATCTCGACCAGAGGTTCCTGCAGATTAAATGAATCACTCGTAAGAAATAACTACTCAAATGCAGCTTATAAAGAATTGTTACCTACATAAACATAACTCTTGCATTTACAAATGTACAGTTGGCTCCATTTTAGGTTTCATCAGTAAAGTATGGCAATTTAAACTCAGATGAAGCCACCTAGAGTTGTGCAGAGTAGTGAATACAGAGTTGTATAGGTAACATAACTCATACGAATACCTGTTCATTATCATCGGTTGAAGAATGACCAATTCCCAGTGGCAGAGCATTCGTAAAGTGTTGTGCAGTTTCAGGCAATTCCTGAACAAGAGAATCACCCCCAATAACACCAATTAGATAAGTATCATAAAAATTCATTAGAAGCTTTAATTTTATCTGAGAAAAGATGTTATAATACTCCAAATTATCTGTAAGAGAATATATATATAGACAACGGCTACAGTGGACTATTTGTATGGGTGGTCTACGGTGTACCATAGTGTCAACGATATTAATGGTCTCATAAGAGGTATTTATATTGAGTTTTAATCTTAGACACATTTTTTTAATTGATCTAAGGGCTATCATTAAAATTTCACATTTTCTCATTCTCATTTGAAACACTTCTTATATATATACATAAAGAGAGGGAGAGAGAAGGGGGGGGGGGGGGATTTTAAACTACCTCATCACTGGGGTTTACAACACGATTACTAGAACCATCAGCAGTGTTTGACTTGGAAGGATCTTCAGAACTACCCTGCATACCCCACAAAAGGTTTCACAAAAATAAAATGAAAAAAAAAAAAAAACATTTGCACTGCTGAAAATGAGATTGTACTTGCTCATCATGGGTGATAGGTAATTCCTCTTCAAGAACAGCAGTAGGCTTGACATCAATAGGAGTGTCCTGCAAATTCCATTCAAGTTGATAGGTAAACCAAGCACCTGTGTATATAGAACTATGATAGTGTGATGTCATTAAAAGGACCTAACAATATGCTAAGATTATCAGGTAAGGCTGTTCAAAATAACTAGTGTTCAAAGCCCAAATCAATCCAAATTGAAACAACTTAATCTCATAAGCTGGTTTATATGTTTTTCACCCTTATTGAGGGTTAGATTGCTTTTGAATTATTTTTGTTAAGATATTCTATGATATTATTCTGATAAGATATGGTTTAGAGATATTAGTTTATCTTCTCCTGATTTATAGTTTAGTTTCCTTGGCCAGATTTATCTTAATCCCAAAACTTTAGGGATTGATTCGGTTAAATGTATTATTTATTTGATTTTACCCATCAATTCAAAATCAATAAGAAATTATTCAGATTCAAGTTGGTACCAGAGCGTTCTGGACCGAGAACCCTAATCAAGCTGCCACCGAGGCATCTAGGGTTTTCGACTTTAGTCAATGGTTGCCGAAATTGACGTCGCTTGCATATTCAAAGGTCACCAATCGGCCTCTTTGTCGCGACACCATTTGCTCTGTTGGAATCGTTGGCCCTCCCTCTTCTCGTTTTGACCCTTTTCAGGTTGTGGGTCACACTCTAGGTGGTCTGTTGGTGGTCGTTTGGTTGCTACCTCAGAGGTCCATGGTTGTTTTGTTTGGTTGCTGTCTCAAAGGTCTTGTGATTGCAACTATTGATTTGGAGGTGTTTTCTTCTTGTTTTTCTCCTCATGGCAGAGATTCCCAAGGATGGCACACCTTCTAAGGAGAATCCAAAAACTGAATCTTCCAAAAGGGAGTTGGTCTCCTTTGCCTTTTCTAGGTCACTTACTATCACATCTGAAAAGGTAAATGATAAAAATTATTTGGATTGGTTCACTGCTGTTGAGGTGTGGTTTTTAGGTCAGGGGCTTTATGATGATCTTACTAAGAAGGCATACGAGGTTGATAAAGAGGCGAGAGATGAATGGCAACCAACAGATTATCAACTTGCATCTCTATTGTGGCAGTCCATTGAGCCTAAATTAATGGTGCATTTTCGTTCGTACAAGACATGCTATGGTATTTGGAAGAAGGCCCAAAATGTCTATGTCAATGATATCCAGAGATTGAATGACTCCGTTCGTGGTCTGGCAACCCTTTGTATGGTTGATAATGATTTTCCGTCTTATTTGAATCGCGCTCAATCCACTATTGATGAGCTCAAGCTAATGTTGGTTAGTGATGATCTTCAGCAAATGTTAGGCAAACTTGATAATATGTTTATGGTGTTGGTCCTTCATGGCCTTCACAAAGATTACGGATCTGTTCGAGATCAAATTTTGACAAATCCTGTCATTACTACGATGGAAGAACTCATAGATCGATTGATTCGGGTTCCTTCACCAGAGACAAATCCTCACACAGCATCTGAGTCTTTTCTTTTATCCCTAGTACGATTGACCGTGGAGGTCGAGGGCATGGTCGTGGTAAAGCGGGTAGAGGAAACCTTCATTGTATTTGCTGCCAGAGAGATGGACATACACGAGATAGGTGTTATTCCTTGCATGGTTTTCCGAGCAAGACAGCTAATGTGGCTCAATCTCCGACTTCAGCTTTAGAGCTCAAGATTGAATTTGAGGACAATCATCCAATCTCATTATCTGCCGATGATTACAAAGAGTACCTTCAACTGAAGGCAGCTCAACAGGCCCCTTCCTCCATCACTGTTGCTCACACTGGTAATTTTATAGTCTGTCTCTTTCATTCTACGTCTTTTGAACCTTCGGTTTTGGACTTTAGTGCTTCTGATCACCTAACTAGTAATGTCTCCCTCTTCCCTAGCCTATCATCACCCAAAATCCACATCATATCACTCTTATAGATGGGTCAAAAGTCCAAGCCACTAGTATTGGCCAAATATCACCTCTCCCTTCAATACCATTAAAATATGTTTTACTAGTTCCTGGATGTCCCTTTAATTTGATTTCTATAAGTTGACTCGATCACTGAATTGTGTCATACCCTTCACTTCTGATTCTTTCTTGATATAGGACCGAAGTACGGGACAGACGATTGATGGATCTGAATCACATGGTCTTTACTACCTTTATTAGAATTGTGAGAGTCTTAAAGATTGGAGAAGGAGAGAGTGAGAGAGAGAGAGAGAGAAGAATTAATAGAGAAAGGGAATTGTATTTTCAGTAATGAATCTGTAATACAATTGTCCTATTTATATGTTTCAATAGCTTCAAAGGAAGCTATAGAAACATTGAACATGTAATGAAGCTAAAACAGAAAATAACTAACTGAAATAATAACCCTATACATTGATAAATCTAATACAATATTAAGGAGTAAAAATATACTCCAATATCCCCCCGCAAGATCAAGTGGGGTGAGGCGAAGAGTCAACCAACTTGAGCTTGGTCCGAAGTTCACAAAACCAAGATGGAGACAAAGCTTTGGTAAGAATGTCAGCATATTGGTCAATGGCTGGAACATGAACCACGTGAAGGAGATTGGCAGCAACTTTTTCACGAACAAAGAAGAGATCCAGCTCTATATGCTTGGTCCTAGCATGAAGAACAGGATTATGGGCTAGTGCAACGGTGCTCATGTTGTCACAATAAACGACAGGAGAATGATGAGAAACATGTAATTCAGAGAGTAAGGTTTGAATCCACATAACTTCAGCAGTGGCAAGAGCAAGACTTCTGTATTCGATTTCAGTGCTGGAGCGAGCAACAACTGTTTGCTTCTTGGACCACCAAGAGATGAGATTGGGTCCAACGAATATGGCGGCACTAGATGTAGATTTTTGGTCATCAGGATCAGAAGCCCAATCAGCATCACAATAGGCATGAATAGACAAAGGAGAGTCATATGGAGTTGGGTGCAGATGTAATCCCAAGAACATAGTGCCTTGTAAGTATCGAAGAATGCGTTTGATAGCAGACCAGTGTTGTTCCAGTGGATTGGACATGAACTGACAGACTTTGTTGACCGAGAAGCTAATTTTAGGTCGAGTGATTGTGGCATATTGTAAGGCACCAACCACAGATCTGTACAAGGACACATCTAGGAATTTTTCCGAACCTGTTTTAGATCATTTTCACCCACTGACCATGGGTGAAGAGATAGAATTAGAGTTTTCCATGTTGGTGCGATTGAGGAGATCACGAATATATTTGCTTTGGGTTAGGGTAAGGGAGCCATCAAAGTTAGATTTAACCTCAATGCCAAGAAAATAGTCTAAGCGGCCAAGATCCTTGAGGGAGAAGGCTGAGTTGAGTTGGGAAATAATACTCTGTAGGACAGAAGAATTATTTCCAGTGATAATAATGTCATCTACATAGACAAGAATGTAGATTACAGTATTGCCATGGGAATAAACAAATAGGGAAGGGTCACACTTGCTGATCTGAAAGTTGAGTTGAAACAATGTAGCTTTAAGTTTATCAAACCAGGCATGTGGTGCTTGTTTAAGACCATAAATTGCCTTATGAAGTTTGTAGACCAGTGTTTTATCCGATGATTCAAAACCTGGAGGTTGAGACATATATACCTCTTCTTCAAGATTTTCATTTAGGAAAGCATTGTTGACATCCAACTGTTGAATTGACCAATGATGGGTGAGGGCTAGGGTGAGAATGAAACGGATGGTCACAGGCTTAACAACTGGTGAAAAGGTTTCATTATAATCAAACCCAAATTGGTGATGAAAGCCCTTTGCAACTAGGCGGGCCTTATATTTGTGAACAATATCATCAGGATTTTCTTTGACACGAAAAACCCACTTACAACCAAAGGCTATTCTATTTGAGGGAAGAGAGACTAGAGTCCAGGTTCCATTGTCCATTAAAGCATTGTATTCCTGCTTCATGGCAGCGAGCTAGGTATCATTAGCCAAGGCTTGTTTGGTACTTTTGGGTTCAGTATGTGTGAGTAAAAGAGTGGGTTGAAGGCAGGGTTTGACAATGCCAACTTTGGCCCTAGTAGTCATGGGATGAATGTTGGCAATTGGAGCAGTGGCATGTGTGGGTAAAGAGGTGGATGAAGGTGGGAGAAGGGTAGAAGATGAACTAGGTGAAGTAGTAGCAGTGCTGGATGGAGAAATAGAGAAAGAAGGTGCAGGAGATGTGTTTTGAGAGATGATAGGAGGAGAATTAGTGGGCATAGGAAGCTGCAGACTGGAAATAACAAGGGGAACAGAAATTGAGGAAGTGGGTGGATTGTTGGCTGAGGTAGGGAATAAACTTGGGTAAGAAAAACGATTTTCCCAAAAAATGACGTCTTTGGAGATAAAAATTCTGCCAGTAAGGGCTAGACACTTGTAACCTTTATGAGAGGTGGAGTAACCCAAGAACACACACTTGAGAACGAAGTTGAAGTTTGTTCTTGTTGTAGGGTCGAAGGTGAGGAAAACAAGAACAGCAAAAAATTCGGAGAAAGTTGTAGTCTGGTAGCTGATGAAATAATTTTCTGAATGGAACATCATGCTGAATGGAAGATGAAGGCAGTCTATTAATGAGATAGACACTAGTTAGGAAGGCATAATCCCAAAAATGCATAGGGAGGTGAGCTTGGGCCAGCATAGTAAGACCTAATTCAACAATATGGCGGTGTTTGCGTTCCACAACGCCATTTTGATTATGAGTGTTGTGGACAGATAAGGCGATGTTGAATACCATTTTGAGCCAGGTAGGAGGTGAAAGAACGAAATTCTCCTCCCCAATCAGTTTGAATGGCTTTAATAGGTAATTGAAATTGATTTTGGACCATAGCATGAAATTGCTTAAAGACATCAAGCGTTTGAGCTTTGCTTTTGAGAAGAAAAATCCAAGTGAACCGAGTATGCGCATCAACAAAGGTAACATAGTATTGGTAACCATTATCAGATAGAAATGGCGCAGGGCCCCATAAATCACTGTATATTAATTCAAAAGGTGTATTATATACTGTTTTAGATAATGTAGAAGGTAATTTGTGAGATTTGCCAAGACAACAAGGAGTACAA